CGGACTCTCTAACCTGTTGCTTCATGAAGCATGCTTTGATAATGTCTGAATACTCAGTTTTTCTGTCATGCCCTGAGATGACGTTGTCCTGTTTTACACAGCAGTTGAAATGCCCAGTTACTGTTCTGTGTCCTCGGAAGATCCTGCTCAGCATACTGCAGTTGTGTTGTTTTCTGGTGGGGCTGAGACTTAACGCAATATTTTTCACACTTACCCCTGGACCTTGAGTCCATAGAGACTCTGCATAAGTTACCGGCATCGTTAGCTTACTGATCTGATTTGATTTAAAAAAAAAAAAAAAAAAAAAAAAAGCCTTCTTTTTCTTGCAGCACTATGACACCATCAGCCTATCCTCCTCCAGGTTCAGCATTTACTACTCCAGATCTCCTGCATACTTTGCAGTGTGGTATTCATGCCTATCTGGTTGCCTTCCACCAGCTTCCCAAAATGACTATTATTCTATTGTCCCCACTGAGGGCAGATATTCCACTTCACCAGTGTGATTTCTAAGACTTCCAACATTTGTTTAGACGCGTGGGTATCACTGTTGTGGTTTTCTGTGGTATATTTAAATGATGTTCTATACCATCTAGGTATCAGTAACAACAAGATTAAAGGCACTCTTAGCAGCTATACTGGCTATACGTAAACTTTATCACATTAATATTTACCAAAGTATTATTCTTTGATTTAAGAGGTACCTATCAAAATAAAAGGGCTTAAACAACTGAAATCAGTTAGCGTCAGGACATTGTACATTCTGATGGGCCTGACTCATCTATGTGAAAACTGGCAGCTAACTCTGCAGCCCTTCCTTGGTAACACATGGTTACGAACTTACCAAAGGTCTCTAGCTGGCTGGTTCTATTTGTAAGTTTGAAGATTTTTATCAAGTATGCAAACTGTTATATTTCAGGTTTATCACTCACCATAGTGTTCAAATAGCACAGGAAAATATTTCAAATTTGGACAAGCCATTATCTGCTTGTATAATAATACCCAGTTACTAAAGCAGACAGGTTTTATTAGGTCAGGCAGGTTTTTGTGTTGTTCAAGACTACAACTTAGATGTTGAAATCTTGGATTAATTCTTAGCTCTTGCTCTGGTTTTCATCTGTGTTACATTTGCAGACAAAATCATGAGGAAATTTGCAAACTGAAGCAAAATCTCACAATAAAAGTGACTAGGTTGTCATTTACGGAACATGTAAGTCCTCAGAAAATGCAAATGTCAGGTGATATAAGAATGCCATATATTTCTAAAGAATGAAAGCTTATTTCAAGCAACAATAGCTGATAAGATGATATTTTCCTCTGTAAGAAGCAAGGCTTTAGGCATGGGTAATGTCCAATGAACAACATGCCAGAGGTGTTACTCTGGCTTGGCTCCCTAAGACTTTGTGCTGTGTAACGCAGCCAAAGGGCATTTACTTCTCATTTCTCACTATGGTGATCAATATAAGCTTATATCCAGCGCATGTTATGGAAAATTTGCCAATCACTTCAACCAGGACAGGATTAGAATCTTTAGTTGATTTTTTTTTTTTTTCATACTTAGAAACAATTGCTCTGACTTTATTATTTTTACAGTTAAACCCCAGTTCCGCTATCTGAGTTTGAAAGACTCTTCCAGCACAAAGACAAAATAGTGGCCTTCTGCACTTCTCTGAGTCATTTCAATTACCTCCACAGCCACCATCTCAAATGATGTTTTTGTTACAGAACTTACAGTTACGAAAGGTTTAACCTTTCTATCTTTGCCATGACCTGGCACAATGGGCACAGCTCACAGCAACTTCATGGACACCCTCTGAAATCTGTGGTGACAACGTTTCTATTGTATTTTTTTTGCCTTCCCAGCTACATCACAAGTGAGCTTTAAAATGTTTGTAACAGTTATAGTACCAAACATACCTCTCCTTGAGGTATTACTGCCTGCATCAATAGTATCAATTTCTTTCTCCTTTCATTTCATTGGATTTCTTTACTAGGTCTGTCTGGGCATCTTACCATTTCTGTGCCAACTGCACTCTGAAATTTTACAAAATTCTTTTTAAGATAATTATGTTTAAATTCTGAGCAATGTCACCTGGCTTCACTTGGGCAATATTGTCGGTATTCTCTTATTTCTCTCTTTTGCTGCTGATCTCATCATTGTGATTTTTCTCTGCTTTTATCCACCCTGTGAGACACGACTTCCGTAAGGCGGTCTGTCTGCAGTCCTTGCAAAGTTTCTGTCCTTCAGTTGGACTGAGGACTACGTTGTCTGCTCCTGAGCAATGCATCACAGTCATCACCTGCAGCCATCTTCTTTTTCTTCATTCTTGCATTACAAGGACTCCACCAGCCCTGTGCTCTTGGTGAAATGTCCAGCACTCCTGATTTAGGCCCTTGTTTGCCCTGGGTTGCCCACTGTTGTCATAGTACATCACTACGAGTTCCTCTTCCTGCTTCTGCTGGGCCTGAGCTAACTATGGTATTGCAGTCTATGGACCCTGTTGTTTCTCCTAGACTGCAGCCTCATGCTTTAATAAGTGGTTTGCTGCTGAGGTCATTAGACTTTACCTTTCCTGCTATACAGAAGATTGATGAAATTTATAAATGGGATAGTCATAGGTGCTATGAGTCTCTTCTGCCTAGGCACCATGGTCCTTCAGGGCCTTTATACCGTTGATCATTTTGCCATCATTTCATCAAGGGGAACATACATTCCCCTTGGCAATTTTCTGTGTTCTCCTTAACGGGTTGCATTGCATTTCTTCCCTGAAGCACAGTCCTGTAGCTGTACCATTCCCTTTGCTGCCTTGGTTCAAACGTGTCTCAGATGTCCTTTCTCATCATAGTACAGAAACAAAATGCTTGGACTGTTTTGTCTCCCTGCTCAGCCAAGAGAGCTACGTGCTCCTCCATCCTTCTCCAGGGACTACTGTATTTGGTAAATGGGTCTTAATCCCATCACAAGATTTCAATTTCCATCTAAATTAAGTTAAAAATCATGACTAGGTTTGATGCCTGCAAGCTGTTTCTCTTGTAAATTTTGTGACAGAAGTTGATTGAACTAAGTAAAAACACCACCTAGGACTTAAATTCTGTCTTGGGGAAAGAATTATCACAGTAGTATCCACGTGTACATATATACACACACATATATATAGGTACATATGTATGTATCGCAACCTAATCTTCACTTTCTTTTCATCGCTAAGATAATTCAGCATATTCCTGTCCATATGTTTAGGAGATCTAGCTGCTTATAACTGCAGTCCTCCTCCCTCCTGGATACCCAGGAAGAACCACCTCATCAAGGCAATTAACAGGCCTGTGGTGTTTTGTGAAATACTTTTTAGCTGGACAATCATTCCAAAACCACATTTTTAATCTTAACTCTACGTCAAATGTACCCAACTAATACACACAAGCTGGTACCGTGTGCATAAAAATAATGCTTATTTTTTCCATTTCTTCAAGTTGTGTGTATATCTGCTCTTCACAGAATGTCATAAAATATGCTCAATGCCGTATGTCCACTGTGACTGTCAGAAAAGCAGGATGCCCGTGCTTCTGCTGCCCCTGCAGGATTTTTAATTTATGCTTTCTCTTTGTACACCTGCAATTGTGGAAATACTGAAGCAAATTATTTCTCCCGAGTCTTTCCACAAAACCCATAAATTCTATTGAACAAAAGTCTTGGACGGAATGCATAGCCTCTCTAAAGCAATTTGGAACTTGACTGAATTACCTGCAATAATAATCCATGTATTTATAAGTTTCTCAGACGACAGCTTCAGACCATGGAAAACAGGAATCCAACTAAAAACAATCAAGATTCATTCTAGATCAGTCACTTTTAGATCTAAAAAGGCAGAACTGAAATTAACACTGATTGTTCCACTTGGGTTATGTTAATTTTTCAGGTGTTCAGTAGCCTTGCATTGCCCGTCTTTAATCATCACCTTTAACTCAACTCTGTAAATCCCCTGCTTCCTGCACCCACACTTTCTCACGTGTCAGTTTCCAGAGTGATAGGAATTAATGTTGGTCCTTGATTACATGCAATGATAGGAGAAATTTGCTGCGTTCCTTATTTCAGGAAACTGTTGGCTACTGTGGCAGGTTGACCCGGCTGGACACAAGGTGCCCACCAAAGCTGCTCTATCATTCCCCCTCCTCAGCTGGACGGGGGAGAGAAAATATAATGAAAGGCTCGTGGGTCGAGATAAGGACAGGGAGAGATCACTCACCACTTACCATCACGGGCAAAACAGACTCAACTTGGGGAAATTAATTTAATTTATTGCCAATCAAATCAGAGTAATCAGAAATAAAAACTAAATCTTAACACACCTCCTTCTTCACTGACCTGGGTGTCTGCAGAGTTGTTTCTCTCCCATATTCTCACTCCTCTCTCCTACCGCAATTTTTTTTTCCCTTCTTAAATATGTTATCACAGAGGAGCTACCACCATTGCTGATGGGCTCGGCGTCGGCCAGCAGCGGGTCCCTCTTGGAACTGGCTGGGTTTGGCTTTTAAAGCATTTTAAATTTTTATTATCGCACTAAAAACAAAGAGGAAATTATTTTCGTGTTTGTTCACGATGTGTTCCTGTAAGTATCATGTAATTCCCTAACCTCGTTCTGATGAAAGCAAAACAATCTATTTCACCTCATCCTCACACATATTTACCTGAAGATACAGTGTGTATGTGTGTGTTTTCATGTGTATGACAGAGAAAGAAGAATTTGGAGCAAAGATGATTTATTTTGCCAATTTATTTATTTATCATGTGTTAATGAAATTAATTCATTTTCAAAATGGCAAACCTGCATTTTGTTCCTTGAGCACACAGAAAAATGAAGTATCTAAGTATGTTGCAATATGTTGTTGGGATAGGATGGTCTGTATACATACTGCTTTTATAAATCTGTTTAGGCAAGTAAACTGAAGAGCTTTAATTTGTAGATAACTATTTCCAAATTACTGTGTTTTTTTTGTTTCTGCAGCTATCTGCACAAGAACAAATACCTGGAAGTTATCAATGATGATGCATTTCTGGGAGTGCACAGTGGACCAACTCTATTGTGAGTAGGAGAAAATGAAGTAGAGAAAGATTTACTACTATTTTAGGTTGCGCTTTCTTTCCAACTACTATTAGCAGCAGAGCAGCAGAGATGGGAATGGAATGTTTACAAAAAGAGTATCAGCAACAAAAGCTGTGCTTTAGGGAACTGATTTAAAAAATGTTTGCATCTTACATTAGAAATACCGTTCCTTCCAATTTTTCTTCCAAAATATTCTGTACTACAATCTGTCTTATGACTGTACAATTGTAGTACAATTATAACAAAACTAAGGACTCTAGTAGCAGACATGTAAAGGAAATTGAAACAGAGGTGAAAAAATAATTTTAGACAGTAAGGTTACTTCTGGTGCTCTCTTTTCTTCTTTCACATGTAATTTAGCTTCCAGTCTGATTTCATAGTCCTCCAAAGAACTCTTCACTAAAATTAGGAATCGCAATACAGGATGAAACAAAAAACTTTAAGAAGAATCACATTGCCCGACATAAATCATCTAGCATGTAACATAGCACATAGGACTGAACACAGGGACAACTGAGGTGATGAAAATGGCAGTCCCTCCTCCACTGCAAAACCAGATGGTGGCGGCAGTGCTCATTCCATGTAACAACTAGTTTTACCTCTGCTTTTCAGGAAAACAGCATATTTATATCAGAATAAGGGTGTATTGTTCACAGAAGGAATCCTACTAGCTAGCTATAATAATGAAAAGGTGCAGAAGACATTATTTTTCTCCCAGAACCTTTCCATCTCCAGAAAATCAGGCTAGCTACCAGCAACATAGCAATCTACAGTAGAAGTTGTATTGGTCCTGACTACTTTATGCTAAGAAGAGTTGCGTCCCTGCAGTGCAAAGCTGCAACAGACCTTTGATGACAAGGTCATAATCAAATCTCTGGTTCTCTCGGTCCCCTGCGTCACAAGTCAGATGCATTGCAAAGCCTATGCGTGAATGGTAGCCTGTCTTCTGCTTCTGTCATATAAATTACTTTGTCTTGTGGGGTGAAGAGGAAGATCTGGCTGAGGGCCTACCTTTCAGGGCCACATCATTCCTCCACATCACTCTCTACCACAAGGTCACTGGAGTTATCAGCAGAGTCCTTGGAAACAGGGTCCAAGACTGGTTCTGGGAAGTATCATGTTTTCCTTTCACCAGCTTGAGGGGAGAGAGAAGCACAGACCGTTCACAGAATCATGGAATGCTTTGGGTTGGAAGGCACCTTTAGAGGTCATCTAGCCCAACCCCCATGCAGTAAGCAGGGACATCTTCAACTAGATCAGGTTGCTCAGAGCCCTGTCCAGCCTGGCCTTGAATGTGTCCAGGGATGGGGCCTCCACTGCCTCTCTGGGCAACCCGTTCCAGTGTTTCACCACCCTCATGGTAAAAAATTTCTTCCTTATATCTTGTCTAAATCTACCCTCCCTTAGTTTAAAGCCATTGCTCTTTATCATATTGCAACAAGTCCTGCCCAATGCTTCACCAACCTCACCGTAAAAAATTTCTTCCTTCTATCTAACCTAAATCTACTCTTCCCTTAATTTAAAGCCATTCCTCCTCGTCCTATCGCAACAGGCTCTGCTGAAAAGATTTTCCCTGTCTTTCCTACAGGCCTCCTTCAGGTACTGAAAGGCTGCTATAAGGTCTCCCCGTAGCCTTCTCTTCTCCAGGCTGAACAGCCCCAACTCTTTCAGCCTTTCCTCCTAGAAGAGCTGCTGCAGCCCTCTGGTCATTTTTGTGGTGCTCCTCTGTGCCTGCTCCAACAGGTCCATGTCCTTGTGCTGGGGGCTCCAGAGCTGGACACAGAACTCCATGTGGGGCCTTGCTAGAGCAGAATAGAGGGACAGAATCACCTCCCTGGACGTGCTGGCCATGCTTCTCTTGATGCAGCCCAGGATACATTTGGCTTTCTGGGCTGTGAGTGCACATTGTTGGCTCATGTCTATCTTTTCATCCACCAGTACCCCCAAGTCCTTCTTGGCAGGGCTGCTCTCAATCCCTTCATCCCCAGCCTGTATTGATACTGGGGGTTTCCCCAACCCAGATGCAAGACCTTGCACATGGCCTTGTTGAACCTCATGCGCTTCACACAGGCCCATCTCTGTCCAGGTCCCTCTGGATGGCATCCCGTCCTTCTGGCATGTCAACTGCACCAGTCAGCCTGGTGTCCTCTACAAACTTGCTGAGGGTGCACTCAATCTAGCTAAGTCATTGATGAAAAAGTTAAATAGCATCAGTCCCAGTATGGACCCCTGCGGGACACTACTTGTCAATGGCGTCCATTTGGACATCGACCACTACCCTCTGGCTGTGACCTTCCAACCAATTCCTTATCTATCGAAGAGTCCACCCAAAACTGAAGCTTCCCTGACTGGGAATCGAACCCAGGCCACAGCGGTGAGAGCACCAGATCCTAACCGCTAGATCACCAAGGAACAATGAATTCATAGGGTCATACTTCTGAAGCAGATGTCTTAAATAATTGGACATCAGAGGGACAGTCCATAACAATCAGTCATTCCAACAGCAAATCAATCCAAACAACTCCTGCTGCACTGGGGTGACGTTTTGTTTGTTTGCTAAAGTCATCCTCACTTTCCCAGTGGGCACCTGATGCACCCCATTTCAGAGCAGCTCAGAAAGACAGAGTTGGAAAGCACCAATGCAGTCATTCTCTAAGGACATGCAGGCCACTGCTTTCTCCCCTACACTCACTGCTTTCACTCCCCTTCCCTCTGCAAAAAGCTACTGCAGGACTACATAGGTCAACAGGGATAATGTTACCCACAACCTTCTCACCTCAAGTCTGGCAGCTCTGGCTGCCAGCTGGTGGGACATTCCACCCAGCGCTTCTCTCCAAAGGGTCTGCAAAGGGAAGAAACTAGTCCAGACCTCTTCATTTGAAGTTGCAACATCCTTGGGATGCAAGTGTGTATGAGAAGAATAGATAAAGGCAGCAACACACTGCTCTGTGTCCCTCAAGATGTTGTCAAGGACTGACATGCCTATTTATTTTTACTTCTTTTCACTAAATCACCTAAAGGACAGACTTCAGTAGTGCCATAACTGGCCAGGTCCTGAGACAGCAGTGAGAAGATAGTAGGTTTTTACCATGTCTTAGAAGTTCTACATTCTGGATAAGAAAAGCACAGTCAAGGCCCTGGTCCACCATCAGGAGGAGAACTGGCCATCCAGGTAGAGCAAAAGAGGGTGTTCTGGAAGCAGAAGGCAACAGATCAGGAGGAAAACCTGAAAAAACTCACAAAGGGGCTGTTAAACCTCCTGCTCAGGGAGTCTTTGTGATGGCTGTTGCTCCTCTTCCTCCCTGCTAGCTAGGTCACTTTCATTTCTACAGCTTCTGCTTTAGGCCACCCACCCCTGAACTAAGATGGTCATTATCGGAGAACTGTGACAGAGGCTGTGCTGGTGCTGAGTAAGACTTTTTCTTAATCTTGCACATGGCAGCAGAGAAGCCCTATCTCATTTTGTCATGGCCAGAAAGAAATTTTTCAGTTGATGTAACTTTACCTGGACATCGTAGTTCCATTACAGTACTACTGCAATGTGCATTTGCCTGTTATCTTTGTGGACTGCACATCTTCCCTCTGAGCCCACAGGTGGCACAATGGGTTGAAAAGCTCCTTCCTAAGGATGGCAAAAGACAAAACATTCGGGATCTTGAGTCTAAAGGAGGTGAGAGCTTCCAGCAACACAGATTTTGACTCTTGGAGTTATTGTAGGCATTTAAAGCATAAGTCTCATTATTATGCTAGACAGGTGAACAAGTAAAGACATTCTGCAAAGGGTTATGGGGTGATCATATGCTATAGTAATGTTGCCAGGTAAACTCACTCTGCAAGACCTAGTTTTGAAGTGTATGAGCGACATGAAACCTCTTGGCTTCAGGGCTAGAGATGACTTCCTAGGACATACGTAAGTAACTGCAAAGAACTTCCTTCTCACTCTGTGTTTTCAAGTCAGATTCCTCAAATGACTTGAAATTTTTCTAAACTTCTATAATTATTGTGCTAGCCCAGCTGCCACTGATGCTCGATCTCAGGGGGAGTTTTACATTTGCAGTCTAAACAGCCAGTTATCCATCTGCCTTTAGAATGATATACCTCCATGGATAACAGTAGTCCCAGTAGCATTTATAGTTGGACACACATGTGGTGCTATAGTGACATTACAGAGAGAGGTGTTGCTTCTCAAAGGCAGAAGGTATAAAATGGCATGCAAGCAACAGTAAATCAACAGTGAATAAAAAAAATTCAGATTATTTCACATCGTGTCCTTTGATTTGCTAGTCCTAAGCTAAAGATCTCAGGAAGGTGTTATGGTTTAACCCTGGACTGCAGCTCAGCTCCACACAGCTGCTTGCTCACCCCCTCCCCACCAGTGGAATGGGGGAGAGGATTGGAAGGGTAAAAGTGAGAAAACTCATGGGTTGAGATACAGATGGTTTAATAATTTTAAAAAAAGACAGGGAAAAAAAAAAACAACCAAGAGGAGGAAAAAACCAAACCAAACCCAAGAAAAACAAGTGATGCAACAAAAATAATTGCTCACCACCAACGCACCGATGCCCAGCCTGTACCCAAGCGATGGCAGCCCTGGCAAACTTCCACCCAGTTTTTATTGCTGAGCGTGACGTGATATGGTGTGGGCTATCCCTCTGGTCAGCTGGGGTCAGCTCTCCCAGCTGTGTCCTGTCCCAGCTACTTGTGCACCCCCAGCCTCCCTGCTGGTGGGCTGTGTGAGGAGCAGAAAAGGCCTTGACGCTGTGTAAGCACTGCTCAGCAGTAACTAAAACATCCCAAAACATCAACACTGTTTTCATTCATAAATCCAAAACATAGCCCCATACAAACTACTATGAAGAAATTTAACTCTATGCCAGCCAAAACCCATATAGAAGGGTGCAACATATTATTAATTTTTAATTTAATTTTAATGGAATTTTAATATCAGATTTAAGGACTTCTGTTACCCATGGATAACCAGGAATTATTCTGCAAGTGTGATGTCTGAAAGGTTTGTTACAAAGTGAGATATCTTCCAGTAACGATTTAGAGCAGAATCCTTCCACCTGAACAGATCTCTTAGTCGACCTTCAGGGACTAGAACTATTTCAACAGGAACAAAATAGTTTCTGAAACTCCCACATATGCAGTGCCTTGAGAAGGCTGAAATCAAAACAAATGAAAAGTGAGTGGAACCCTACTATTGTCTGTTGTGTCATGTCAATGGCCATTAACATCTCCCACAGGAGACCGAAATGTTCTTGCAATTGGTGCTTTATTATACCCCCCCCACTGTAGCATCAAGACTAACATTAATGAGTTAATTACAGAGAGACCAGAGATTTGTTAACTTGCATAATAGCCTGAGAAGTCTGACCAATACAGCCCTTCCATATCCCCCTTGGGTGCTGTAAAAAAATTGGCTTATTTTAATGAATAATTTCTTAAGTCATTTTTGGTTCAGGCATCTAGCTGTTGTTAGCTGGCATGGGAATTTGTGGACATTGGATCTTGTGTATGTGGGTGTACACATAGATTTTCCCTTTAGAAAATTATGTTAACAGTATTATGACTATACACTGCTTTTCATCTGAAAATGAAATCTTGGCTAGGATTGAGCAGCTCAGTGGACCTCATTTACTAGATGCACCAACAAGAGCTGCTGCCTAGAGCACAAGTTCAACAGAGTACAACAAAAATACAGTCAGGCTCACTATTCAATTAGCTTTTGCAAAACACACAGTCCAAATTCAAATTACTAACTGTAGCACGAGACACATGCGAATAATTCATTATCTTTAGAAAGCAGAAGTTCTCTTTAAAGCTTCATTTCCCAGTCTAGGAATGGGCCTTACCTTACGAGATTCTGTTCTGTTCCTGTCACTGGGCACAAGCAAGTCTTCGAGCAACAGGAGCACTCTGCATTCTGCTGCTCAAACAATGCAATTTTGCAGAATTAAATAATCTTTCAGTAGACAGAAATAATATCTGTAGACTAAGCCCATCTCATATATTTTATGCTTTTTTAACTATTGTAGTATTGCAGTACTCAGAAAACTGTATATGATTAAGCAAAAATTCCCAATGGTACTCTGATGCATTCAATCTGATTTACTCAATTATCTGTCTTTTAAATTCTCATTATTACTTGATTTCATATTACAATTGCATGTTTCCAGCTGTGAAAAAGATTATTGACAAAAGCTGTTATCCCTTATATCTAGTTCTGAACTTCTGACTTCGTAAAAACAATGAAGAATTAGACCAAAAAATAATCACGCAGAAAGAAAAATCAAATCTAAGCAGCTAAATATCTGTTTAACACTTGTATTATATATGTAGGTTCAGAAAACAGTATCTCTTAAATCATAAGCTGTGTTTTATTCCCACATTCATCTGAAGCTCTACAGTGCCTCTGCAACGTTCAATCTAATGTGTAAATCTCATGTAAGGTAATCAATAGCCTTGAAATGTCACATGAAATTTATAAGAAAGCACGTAAGAGAAAAACAAAACAGCTAACAAGCCGCAATGTTAAACCTGGTTGAGCGCCCTTTGTTTGCTGTTATGCTCCACAATGCAGAGCTCCGCGCTACTGCAGACAGACTGCTCCCAGTACCTGAGTGAGCTCTAGACCGCGGCTACTGAAGTGCTGAAGTCTGATCTGGATCTAGGCTGGAAGTGAATTCTGCTAGCACTGCACCATAATCCTGAACGTTTGACGTGTCCCACAGAGGAGTGTGGCTGCTTGGTTTCTACATCAGCCTCTGTGGGGGTTTGTGAAATGCCTTGTGGCAGTCCCAGGAGACTCTGAGCAGAGCTTAATCGCAACAGAGAGGTTTGTAAGGCAGGACTTCTTTTCACAAGAGCCCTTGACCTGCTGACTGCCCCCACGTACATCATGTTACTTGGTGGCTCATTTGCTGCTTTCCTACAGGGGGCTAAGTCGTAGGTTACACATCTCTTTTACCAATTCAACTATTTCCTCCTTGAGCTGCTTCAAAACATTTTGGTGAAAACCATCCAGTCCTTGTGACTTGTTATCATTATTTTTATCAGTTTCCTGCCTAACCTCATTTGTAGTCACTTCAATTTGAGACAGATCCTCTTGACGAGTCTGTCAGACCTCTTGCCCATTCTCTTGTGTTTCTTTAAGCGTGCCAGCTATAACTTAACAGTAGTAGCAGAACACTTCTGTGAATGAACATTGCTGTGTTTAAAAAACACCTTAGTCATCAATATTATTAGATATTAGTGAGGCTGACATAACTGCAGTCATTTCTCATTTTTCTGAGCAGCCCAAAATCAAGACTGACCATACAATGACACAGAACAAAGAAATCATTTAGGAAAACGTGTCCTCTGTATGAATGCAGACACAAATCCTATAGTCTGGCAAACTCCAGCCAGCTGGACTCACATTGCTCTGAAGATTAGTAACTATTATTTAAAACCTTTTCAGTCCAATGCTTTCTAGTTTGAAGACAGCTGCTATGCTGCTTGAAGTAGATTGTGAATCTGAATAGATAATTGTCAAGACTGGATTTGTCAGGTTGAAAAATCCCTATCAATCCCACATTTTTCTCTGGCCAGTTGACACACACTTTGTCACTAACAAAGTGTGGGCCCAGGCAGAGTAACGAAGAAGTTACCTTCCACTGGGAGCCAAATTATCACCAGACTCCCAGGAGGCAGCAGTACACAGAGGTCACAAGACCTCTTGGTGGCAGACACCATACCAGCAGTTTAGAGACTTCCCAAACTGGGGATGTTGGAAACTTTTTAACTTTGGAGCCATTGTGCTTCATACGGCCCGTGGATGGGACCAACCATTTATTGTTAGCCCTGCAACAGGATTAATCCTAAGTCAACTAGAACTTCAAGGCAGCTGTGCCTGTATATTCTCCCCAGACCTCCCAGTTTAAAACAAGCAAGGTTTTTGAAACTAAAAACTGCAATACCTAACTACTTAAATACACACCCATATACACCTACATAAAAGACTTCACAGGATTCAGTAAGCTAGAACAGAAATTATGTAGTCTTATAATTAATTCTTCCAAGCCCTTTCTTCTCACTGAACAGATTTTTCTTTCAGACTTTTTAACATTGCTCGATAGCACCCTTTGAATTGTTACCGACTTTGCAGGTTCCCCTCTGCTTCCTGGGAAACTATTTCCACCCCCCGGCCCTGGGCTGGCTGCTCCCTTCTGCTCGCAGCTCTCCAGTAGCTGCAGCTCCCTCCCCACGCATCCGGGGACCTGGAGAGGCTCCTCTCGGCGGCTGTTTCCAAGGCACAAGCCCTCCTCCTCAACGATGTTTCTCTTGACCCAGCCATTTCTGATGGGAGCATGACACTACTGTGAGGAAAACAAAACCAGAAAGGGATATTCGCCTTATGTTACCTTGCTATTTGGCCTGCGTGATGAACCATGGCACTGACTTTCACAATTTAATAATGCAATTTTGTGAACAGATGATAACTTTTCTCAAGTCTCTTGCCTCACTTTCTTAGGTGCCCCAAAACTTGCCTCATAAGACTGAATAATCATTCCCAATCACCCTCTTTACAATACGCACGGCATCTACAGTCTCCTAGACTGCTTCCAGCCCTAGCTTTTCCCAGAAGTCCTTGTCTACTCCTTATTACTTCATCTATAAACAATTCGCTACTTTTAATCATCCTTGTTGTAGTTTTCTGTGCTTTTATTGTAAACCGCATATAGTATTTAAGATGCAGTCATATTAGATTTACAAAGTGAAGTTTTTCTGTTCTATTTTCTGTTTCTTTCCTAAAAATTCTTGGCATGCTATTTCCCTTCCACATTACTAAATAGCGCTGACCTGACGTTTGCAGAGATGGCTCCAAGATCTTTCCCGAGTGCTGGGTAAATTAAACCCCATTGTCACCCATGTACAGTTAAGATCGCTTTTTCCTAAATGCACCTTACATTCATTAATACTGAATCATGTAAATTACTTTACTGCTCAGTCACTTAGTAATGCAGGATTCTTCTGCTGCTTTGGAAAATCAGTTTCAGCTTTCCCTGCCTTGTCCTATTCTGTGGCGGAAAAAAGCTTTGCTGCAGCTACTCTCCTTCTCTTTCCAGACTGTTTATGAATATTTCAGTAGTGCCAGTGCCAGCCTAGCCTCTGTGGGCCTCTGCCGCAATGATCTATATATTCAGATACCAGTTCATTTCCCATTCTTCCTCTGGCATGAAAACTTATCATCTGTTCCCAGGCTTTTCCCCTACTTATTTTTTTCACTTACTCCCCCCACTCTTATTTTTTAATTAATCTAAGAGAGCCATTCCCCTTGTCAGATAACAGATTAGTTACCTCAGGAGCCCTTGATACCTGATTTTGTCCAGGCATTTCAGAAATCCAAATTCATTGTACAAACAGGATCATCTTTCTCCATATGCTTGTCCAGAACATCTTCAAAGATCTCTGAAGAGTATCTGAGGTATCATTTCCCTTCCAAAAAGCATTAGCACCTCCCATCACACAGCATTTAACCATCTTCCCTTCCTGCAGGTAGCTGCCACCACCATGAGGACTTGATGGAGACCCATGGGGGTTGCTGAAAGGCCAGCCTTGTCTTCGTAAGATCTGGTCTAAGAACTAGTTTACCAAGGTGTTTTGCTTCAGAAGTGGAGCTCTATAAAATGAGGAAATCTGTGAAAAACAAAAAGGAGCAGGCCACTCCATTGACTAAGGGACTGGAGCATCTGTCTTAGAAGGATAGGCTGAGCGAGCTGGAAACATTTAGTCTGGAGAAGAGTCAAGCCAATCTTATCAATGTGTATAAATACTTGGAGGTCAGGGAACTGGGAAGACAGAGCCAAGATCTCCTCAGTGTTGTCCAGTGACAGGACAAGAGGCAACAGGCACAAAGTGAAATACAGGAAAGCCCATTCCAACATAAGAAGAAACTTCTTTACTGTAAGGGTGGTCGAATGCTGGAATATATTGCCTAGAGAGGCTGTGGAGTCTCCAATCCTGGAGATACTGAGAAGTCAATAGGACACAGCTCTGAGCAACCTGCTGTAGGTGACTCTGCTTTGAGCAGGGAGGTCGAACCAGATAATCTGGAAGCTCTACTATTCTGTGATTCTTTACCAGATAAAATGATAGCAGGCAGCATTCAGACTCTTCTAAAAGCCAATTCAGGGGCTTTGTAGAAACATATACTATCTGTCAAAAAGGACTCCAGAACACCAAAAAAGAGGTTTATGTGGTTGGAAATCAACTAATTGTGACATATTCAAATACGTATGATAGCAAAGAAGTTACTAGAATTGAAAAAGCCCTCCTACAGAAAGGGGAAGCAATTTCTAACTCCATTTAAAAACAAATACAAGCAAATCAAAAGAAAAAAAATAAAGCAGAGCAAACCCAAATGTTTTAGAAGCAATTTGTTTAAAGCATTAAATTAGTAATAATTTTCTTTTAGGAGCAAGAAACCAGCCAGTGGGTGAGACTTCTAGAGGGATAAGAACAGCACTCCTGGGAAACAATACATAGGAAAAACATGAATTATTTATTATTTATTATTGGGGTTCTTGTGATGAAAGTGCTCAAACAATGTTCCTACAATAGAAGCTTTTTTACAGGTTTACTTCTTTACAGAGTGTAACTCTGAAAAAACATCTTGACTTCAAGTGTCAGTAGAAGAGGTTTTGGGACAAAACAAAAAATGAGTGGGAAACACTAGCAAGACCAGATGACGTTCATCTGGCAGTTCTAAAGGAAATCCACCTCCCCTGCGAACTGTGCAATGTACCTGCTGAGGTGGACTCAGTAACCAGAGAAATAGAAAGCAGCAAACATTCTACTAAATTTTCTGAGAATTTCAGGACGGACTGAGAAGATTTTAATTTCAGTTTATGAAGAACATTATTTTAGTAAATATAATTGTTTTAGTAATTATAATGCTTTCTACTGAAGTATCCCAATAGGTTAAAATGAATCTACAGAGATTTAAAGGAAAATAGCTCTTCCAATGAAAGATGCAATTTCTTTAAAGAATTTCTAAAACTTTGTTTTTGCAAATGCATTTATATCTGGTTGGCTTTAGAGGTGTAATTTTAGAAGTCCTGATATTTCTTTATCATCCATATTCTGCACTATGAGACATTAAAGAGAAGAGTTTTAAAAAACAGAAAAAATGACAGAAGGAATTCATACCCTATTTGAATTTGAATGGTATTAGAGTGTGGCAAAGTGATATTAAATCCTCACCTCCTCTGGATTTGATTTTTGATGTAGAATTCTATGAAACTCCTAAATTACTGTGACAATCTGAAAAAATTCTGATCCAGTCACTGGATATTCTGACATTTGTATTTTCTTCCCTTACCTAGGGATGTCTCCAGAACAGCCGTTGCTAATCTTCCAGCCAAAGGACTGGAAAGCCTTAAAGAACTAATGGCCAAAAACACATGGACTTTAAAAAAATTACCAGCTGTAAAGATATTTCTTCAGCTGATGCGAGCTGACCTATCATATCCAAGTCACTGCTGCGCTTTCAAGAGCTGGAAAAAAAACAGCGGGTGAGTTTCACTAACATTCACTAATATTTTGAAATATGTAGGTGAAGACAATGTTTTAGTATTAATATAAAGTTACATCTATTGGCACTTTTGTGACCATTCTTTCTTGGTATAGAGGACATTCTTTGAAACGGAGATTACAATTTCAAACTGACAGAAGAAAGAATTTTTGATACAGCAATTTGTAGGACCTTTTGCAACAGCTCCTCCTCTTGTTGAGCCCAGAATTAAAGGGAAAAAAAGAAAAGGATAATGTGCTATAACACAGAACGTGCTGTAGCAAGGACTGGAAAAAGAAGTTTTGAAGGGGTTATAGCCTCATATCTCATATGTTTTCTAACTGACAAGCTCAGAATAAATTATTCTGTGAAAACCTTGTAGACGGATTATTTCAAATTCTATTTTGGCAGGATTTCCAGCCTCCTATCAGAACAGATGCCGATAGCTTTTAGAAAGGAAAAAATACATTTATAGATGTCCTGATACAACACAGAGACTCATCTGCTAGGGAGAGAGAGGAAGGAGGGATGATCTACTGTGATTAGCAGCACAATTGTATTGCAAGAATGCAAATCCACTGTAAATTTCTCCAAAATTTAATAAAGTTTAGAGAATTCTAATTCAGGCCAGCCTCTGATTTAGGAAGACAGCCCCAGTCTTCAGTATGACAGTATCTGTGATTGGACTGCATAGTATATTAAAAATATGCCATGATAATTATTCAACAATAAACTTACAAAGCAATATCTTTCACAATTACAATGAACTGGGAAAGTGAGGACAGAAATAAAACAGAGAAATAGAGAGATGCGAAACAGGAAGAATGTGCAGAAAGAACCCAGCACAATCTAATAAGTGAAAGAAACAAGTATTTGCACATCTGTTAGTAGAGATGAAAATTTCTCAGACTGAATTGCATGCAATCTTGAATTCTACACACCTGGAAATAAGAAATGCTAAAGGTTATGTGGCAGTGAATCACAGAAATCAAAAAATTTGATGCCAAATTGCAATTTTTTTCCTACTAAAAAGTATGAACATTTTTCTACTACAATTACAGGTGTATCACACCGTGAGGTACAGGATTCCCAACCACTACACTGGTAGTTAGCTGTAAAGCACCTACAGAAAATACATAGAACAGAAACTAAAATGATGGAAGTTCTGGGAGATTTGTGAGCAAAAATGAACAGGAAAGTAATACTGTGTGTACTACCTAACAAGCTATAAACAGTAGATAGAAGTCTTGCTACCTACTGAGAATGTAGGTCCCAGAAAGGAAGAGGGCTTATGGATGCTGACCAAGAGAAATTACTACTGGGGATAGCGGATAGCAACAGAGAAAGGAAAACTAAATTTTAAAAAAACAGCCCAGCAATGGTGAAGCTTATAGTTCCCTATACATTCATTTAACAGAAATACATCCGATCACATTTTTATAGCTACGTTTTCATTCACAGTGGTTTGCTTTTGAAGTGCTCCCTTTGTTTACTCCCTGTACTGTAGTACGACTGTAAATGCCAGTGGTGTTTTCACCCTCCATTCTTTCAGAATCCTGGAGTACCTGACATGTAACCAGAATGACAGTCACAGCTTTCGTAAGAGAAGATCAGTCAAAGCTGTCAGAGATCCATTTTACAAAGATTATGCAGAAGAATACACAGACCACATCAATACTGTGGACAACAAAAACACCAAGTTCACAAATTTTCATGAAAATTCCCATTATTACTTTTTTTTGGAAGAACATGGAGAAGGAAATCTTGGGTTTGGCCAAGAGCTCAAGAACCCCCAAATAGAAGATGTCCAGACCTTTGACAGTCATTATGACTATCTGGTCTGTGGAGGCAATGAAGATGTCATATGCACTCCAGAGCCCGATGAGTTTAATCCCTGCGAGGATATAATGGGATATCAATTTCTGAGGATTGTGGTGTGGTTTGTGAACCTGCTGGCCATCCTAGGTAACATTTTTGTCCTTTTCATCCTTCTTACCAGTCATTATAAACTGACTGTACCACGCTTTCTGATGTGCAACTTGGCCTTTGCTGATTTTTGCATGGGGTTATACCTCCTCCTGATCGCTTCGGTGGATCTCTACACCAGGTCAGAGTACTACAACCACGCCATAGAGTGGCAGACTGGACCTGGCTGCAACACAGCCGGCTTTTTCACAGTCTTTGCTAGTGAACTCTCTGTATACACCCTGACTGTGATCACCCTTGAGAAGAGTCGCCTGCTGCATGCGTTGGTCATCATGCTGGGAGGGTGGCTCTCGTGTTTTCTTCTTGCCCTTTTGCCACTGGTTGGCGTCAGCAGCTATAGCAAAGTCAGCATCTGCTTGCCTATGGACACTGAAACACCGGTGGCTGAAGCCTATGTTGTCTTCGTTTTAATATGTAACATTATTGCCTTTGTCATCATTTGTGCCTGCTACATAAAAATCTATGTAACTGTGCGAAACCCTCAGTACAAGTCAGGGGATAAAGACACCAAAATTGCCAAGCGGATGGCTGTGTTGATTTTCACTGACTTTCTGTGCATGGCTCCCATCTCTTTCCACGCTTTATCTGCCATTATCAACAAACCATTGATAACTGTCACCAATTCCAAGATTTTGCTGGTACTCTTCTACCCACTCAATTCTTGTGCCAACCCCTTTCTTTACGCTATTTTCACCAAAGCTTTCCGAAGAGATGTGTTTATCCTGCTAAGCAAGTTTGGTATATGTGAGCATCAGGCTCAAGTCTACAGAGGTCAGACAATCTCAGCCAAAAACAGCAGCGGCTCTTATGGGCAGAGAATCAGCCGAGGGATAGGGCAGATTCTTACAAGCATTCAAGACCCAGCCAATGATTACCTTCCTGCCATGACAATGCAGAACCAAATTCTCATGGAAGAATGCAAGCAAACTGAGCTATAACGTCTCAAAGTATCACAGCCACAATCTGGTCAAGAGGGGGTTGTGCATACAGTGAATCGAGTGAGAAGATAATGTAGTCTCCATACCCTTTCTCCCTAGCCTACCCTTTGTGGTGTCTGAAAGTACCTTCAGAGCAGCCTTCTTTTAGACAAGTCACTCATTTGAATCTCGTCTCTCACTCTTATCAGTGCAGGTCAAATGATACTGTTCTGTTGATAATGCTGGAAGTAGATGTGAACACTCTATCTAAATAGGAAAATTAATATATATATAAACTCCGCAAATATGAAATATACCTTCATCTAAAAAATTTAAGGAAGCAGGAGACCAAGCATAAAACTTGGTTGTACTTGTATGACTGAAAAAAGAACCTGAAATTTTATAATTGAGATTAAAAAAAAAAATTTATAAGGTTAAAGTTCTTAAACGCCAACTGCCTATGTGTCAAAAGGTTCAATTGGTTTCTTAATAGCAAATTTCTAAAACTTCCACCAGGGCCTAAAATGGAACAGATTCCTTCTGCTTCTGCCATCCTAACCTAAAACAAAGCTAGTCTTCTGTTTGCAGTTCTTGGTTGGGAACACAAGCCTCTTCACACTGCCTTTATAGCGGTAAAAGGCAAATGTCATTGATTCTGTGGTTGTTCATAACAGGTAAGAAACATTAGGGCATTTGTGTGCTACAAAAATTCCCTTACTACCACTCTCACTTTTTGATAAACCTGATTAGGAGGTGGCTTAGTTTGAACTTGTTTTGAAGACCAGTTTACCCAGTCAAGTTAATGATGTTTGTATTTTCTTGATGGTTGAAACTTCAGATTGTACTAAATTTTCTCCCAATTATCCATTCTTCACCTCACTCCAGTACTGTTTAATTTGAGCATGTTTATTACTTTGAACACACTGTAGCTGCCGATTTCTCACCATTACTGCCATCCCTACGTACCCCTCTCTTATGTTGAGCTGCCTCAAATTTACACTTAGACAAAGGGAGTGGATCATGCCTTCAGGTTACTTCATGCCCTTCAGTTACTGAATTGAAGGCTAACTGCTAGCTCCTCTAATGTGTTTTAAGAACACCTCTCCATCTTACAGTGAGATCCATTATCAGACTTTTGTAATGTCTGCAGTACAACTACATAAACCACACTGTTAACTTCTGGTTGGCCACAGCCCGTCTGTAGCTTAAACTTGTACCCTCCACACTGTGCTTGAGGAAACCCAAGCTCAGATACAAGGAACAAGCCACAGCCTTTTGCTCAAGTGAAGCACTAAAGCATTCTTCTACCATACCTGCTGCTAGGTAGGGCCAGACCAAGATCAGGCTTGGCTGTACTCAGTCCATCCACATACCACAAACATCTGAACAGAGGCCTGGCTCTCTACATCTGCTGCAGATGTCAGGACGCGAGGTAGGAGCCTCTCTGCACCAGCTTGCTTGTCAACACTTGTGTGGCCTGAGCGCCTGGCTTTGACAGCGGGATCAGGCCAGCTCTAAACCGACTGCAGAGAGCTCTGTATGGCTGCTACCAAGACTGCCACGGATCGTTTCACCCATCTGTTTGGAAAGCTTTCCACAAGAACAGAGAATATTGGGTGAATCTTTGCCTTCGGGTAGGTATTTTAAAGATCATTTTGTAATATCCATACTGTTTTTAATGGAATTATAGTCTTCAAGGAACTGAGACTGAACAGACAACAGTCAGATCTTTTATAATGTGGGTTAGTAGTATCCAGAAACATGTCATGGTACAGCCCTTCAAACTGCTAGCTGCTACAGCTGGAAATGGCATGATTGCAAATGCCATGTACCTACCCCAATCTAAACTTCATTTAATTCCACATTTCTGATTATATGTGAAGGCTGCTTCAGTGAGCAGAAACAAGGGCCGAGATTCACCAACTCTGCGAGATGGTCTCACAAAAAAAAAAATTCTGTTATTGTTAATGCCATTAAAAATCTACAATACTGCATTATAGATTAATTCAGCTGCCTATGTTGGGCAGGGGCCTGCTTCCATTTTTGACTGTTCTCAGCAAACTTTGAAAACAAAACTGATGAAAACCATGCAAATAGTAACTTATGACCTCCTCTTCTATGATTGGGACTCACTCATTGTTACTCATAAGCATACAGGTAGCTTCTTAAGTGTGCAGACCAGCAAAGTTTCCTAGTCTTGAAACGGCTGCATTGGGAACGCCCTGGCTGCGTCTGAGAGTCCCATACAAAATGCGTCATGTTGCGATGCAACCCCTGCCCCCGGGTTCTATCAGCCTTCTGATACTGGAATAACCGTTAAAGGGAGAGTAAGCTTCCTGAGTGCCTTTATCTCGTATCTTGGCAGCAGCTAAGACAATCGAGTTCTAATGGACAAACTGTACATTTATGCTACAGGCTTGGTAGATACTAGCATACCAGTGGAAAAGAAAATCCAAGCTTGAATCACATTCTTTTTCAGAAAGAAAATCAACATTTATTTTAAAAGTCCTTTTAAAAGTAACAGGGGTCACTTATTTCAAACCTCTGTTTACCTTAAAACAACCAGAATATTTGTTCCACGGAAACCAGTAGGACATTGGAAAGATGTGGAATGTTGGACCGATTGAAGTATGCTTTTGAATTAATACAGCTGTTTGCTGTTACTAATGGATGATGGATATATTTACACATTCTTGAACTTTTTATATTCCATTATTGTGTATATTTTTTGTCTGTTGAAAGAATTCTGTGATATTGCCTTTATGAACAAAGTATGATATTTCTAGTTTATGTCTTGCATATTCCTTCTTGTGTTTAACTTGGTAAAAAATATTTAAAAGCTATTGGAAAGATCCAGGCAATAGACTTCAAGTAATTTATTTGCCAGACTTTTTCTTGTAAATGTCTGTATCCTATAGATATTCTGTTGCATGTAATACTGGCTATTTTAAATCTGTCTCAGCAAGATGTATTATTTCTGGCATTCAGTACATATTTTCTCTAGAATAGTTTAGAAATATTGTAGAGCACCGGAATAAAATATTTTGTTTGAAATTCTAAGAGGCTCAGCAAATTTTTCTGAAGGTTTTGAAATATTTTTCCTATGAAAGAAGTTAATATGATTTCTCTTGCACTCAGCTTCGTTGTTCTCCTTGGCTGGTCTACAGCCAAAAAGATTGACCACGTGACACACTGGCAAAGGTTTGCAGTTTTTCCCCACCACTGCCTGGGAAAGGGATGTCATAAATGGCTGTCTTGGACAGTGCAGCAGGGACTGAAAGGAACAGCAGCAGTACTGCCGAGCTCTGGGGGTTCCAATTTTGCTGTACTAAAGCCATTCCACTATCCAGACTGCCAAGACAGCTTCAACTGCATCTTCCTTCAGCAGGCCTGACCACAGAGCCCACGCAGGTAAAAAGCCCAGCCGAGTGCAGGACAGCGAACCCCCTGCTGACAGCACTACCTCAGTGGATTTGACCTCATGGCTCAAGGGAAAGGGCAGAGGCTAGCTGCCTTCTCTCAAAACCCTGCCCAGAAACGGGAAGAGCTGATGTTACCACACTCCTCAGGGCTTCGTCTGGCTCAGATTTTGGATTGGAGAAGAGAAAATCCTGTTTGGGGGCGAAAGGGAATGCTATTATTTTCTCTGCGTAAACTTCTGTGATTCTATTTGCATAATTTGGTGGTAATATATACACTATGAAAGATTTCCTCCCTCAGACACTGTACAAAAAAAGCTGTAGAGTTGCAACGAAGCCCTAGTTATGAGGACTTCGAACTTTCTCTGAGCAATTTAATTTAAACTGGCTGTAGCTGACCTCTGCTCATCTCCTCTCTCTCTACCTGTAGAGCACTGAGGTATTTTTGATTGAGCAGGCATCTGTGCTAGATGACACCATCTGCAACAGGTCAGCTGTAGTCAAAGTAAAGCACACCCTGCTATGGTATGCTGGGATCTGAAATAGCACAAGTAATAAAAGGTAAATTTCACATCACTGCCATAGCATTTTTGCTTATTAACACAAATGAAATGCACTTTCGTTTCCCTTCTTGCTGGATAATTTAAATATTGATGCTCACAGCATAGTCTTTGTAAAATCTGTACCAAAAAACCTCCCTAAGAAGTGAAGATTTATTTGAGCAGACCTCCTATGCTTACGTGTTAAAATGAACCAAAGCCTCCCTTCCAGGCTGTTTGGCCAGGCTGATGAGCAATAGCAGCATAATCTGTACTGTTTTTCTAACAGATGCCAGGCGTCCTTGCTCTAAAACCACTCAGTAATCAAACGGTTTCTGGGCCGCAGCTAAAACTGGATAGAGCGAGGCATAAAATTCCTTGGATATCATGCCTTCATATTATGCACTTCCCTCCTCATTGGTGGGGATTCTGAAAACATGAGACATTATACTGCACTTCAATGTAGGCTTCGTGGGTTAGGCGCAAGGTGTTGAAGGGCCATCATCGTGCCCTGGAACAGAAGGTGGTTAAGAGGTTTTAGTGACGCACACCGAAAGGTTCTGACAGCATCTTCACGCCGGTTCAATGATACATTCGCATAAAGCTGAAATACTTTTGATCTGTTTAGTCACTTCCATATGACCCGACTTACTTCTGTGCGGCTGCAAATCATGATGTGAAAGTGAACAAATGGAGGCTTTATGAGGTCAATCTGCAGAGCGTCTCACCAGCAGAACCTGTCAGTTCTAACTTTGTACCCCCATCCCATGCCTACCCCCCATGCAGACACATCAGTAGGAACTGCCACAGTACCTCAAATTATCAGGTTCTCAGAGTAGACAGGGTACCAATCCTGTGGAAATCTGTAATTTGTGTAACTGCCTGTCCTTATTTTCCACCCTAAAAATATTAGGTAACTCTTCCAAAACATGGAAAAGCCTCCACAGCTGTAGCATAGGACTTGGACCTCATTGGGGCCATCTGAACTTACTCCTTCCAAGAGCCTACCTTCTGCAGGATTAACACAGACCAACTTGAATTTTACCCTGCTTATTAGGTAGGA